TACTCACCCACTTGGCCAGTGTATTCCCTGAGGGTTGAGGCTGCTAATAGAGAAAAATGGTGACATACCATGCCAGACTTATAGCTGTCGGGGGTGGGGGAGAGAGAGGAAGAAAGATCCTCGCTTGAATTCCCGTGTTTTTGAAAGACTATTATATTGATTATGTCAAATGCCCCCCCTTTTCTTCTGAAACAGGGTCTTGTTCTATCACCCAGGCGGGAGTATAGTGGCATGATCTGAGCTCACTGCAACCTCCACCTCTCAAGCTCATGAGATTTTCCCATCTCAGCCCCTCAACTAGCCAGAACTACAGGTGTGCACCACCATGCTTGGCTAATTTTTAAATTTTTTTGTAGAGATGAGTTATCACTATATTGCCCAGGATGGTCTCAAACTCCTGGGCTCAAGTGATCCTTCTTCCTCAGCCTCCCAAAATGCTGGGATTACCTGCATGAGCCACTGTGCCCAGCCCTCAATTTTTAAACAGTGATAGGATGACTATATTCCATATTCTCCAAACTACACATCAGGACCCATGGTATCAGAAAGGCTTTTCCATGCTGACATTTCCATTTTAGTAAAATGTGGATGGTTTGTGGGGTACAAGGGTAAGAACAGCTAAAAACAGGAGTGTCCCAGGAAGTCAAGGTACTATGATCACCATGCTGAGTATCTTCTTCCCTGCCCCGCCTCCTCCACTCCCAGAAATCTCACATTCTCCACGGTAGGAGCACTGACCTTATCTCATCAATAGAGATGACAAACCTCACCCTGGCATTCCCAAAAAGATGATAAAAACCACATTGGATGCTCGCATTGGTATCTAACACTCCCAAACACATCCAATCCTCCCCCCAGGGCTCTCTTGCTTTCCTCCAGGCTTAATTGCAATACTTACTTTCACTAAATTGATTGCAGAGTAAATTTCTCCCATTTAATTTATTAAGTCATTCAGAGACATAATGACCTATTTGGGAGTTGTGTCTTCCCTGTGGAGTTCTTAGACTAAACTTCTCTTGGCAAGAGTGAACCAGGCCGCCCCTCCCCATTGAAAGGGCTGGACACTGGCCTGGCCCTTTGTCCTGTTCCTTTTCTTAATTTCCTGTCACCTATTGTCTCTCTAATAACTGCTGACAGAGGGAAGGGTGCCATTTAATTGCTTTAAAGATATCAAACAAGCCAGTTGGAAGGTTATCTCCGCCCCAACCCCTCTATTTTTCTCGCTCAAGGTTTTGCTCCTTAGTTACTAATCGAGCTGCAGAGGAAGAAGAGGCAGCCCCTTGTGCATTACAGCTCAGACTTCATTCAGCAGATGGAGGGGAAAGTCAAAATAGCCTGGGGGAGTCCAAGGCGGAATAGGAACTTGAGGTTGGCCTCTGAGTGCAGGCGGCAGCCCAAGCAGCTCCTTGGAGGCCTTCAAAAATGGGGAGGGGAAAGGGGAGGAGGCATACATTATTTGGACAAAATCAACAGTCATCCTAGATGACACATTTCTGCTGTCAAGGTCAATGTTGTTCAGAGCCCACTCAGCCAGCTGCCGTAAGACAGGTGTGCCTAATGTGGGTGGATCAGTACTTTCTCCAGGCTGGGCCTGCCCTATCTGATAAGGAGGGGAAGAATTGACATAGCAAGTGCATGGAGGGGGATGTTGCTTTATTTGCTCATCCACATTAAAGACCATACAGGGTGGTTCATGGTGGTGGCTCACTCCTGTAATCCCAGGATATTGGGATTATTCAGCCTATTCAGGAGTCCGAGGCGGGCAGATCACTTTAGGTCAGGAGTTCAAGACCAGCCTGGCCAAGATGGTGCCACCCCATCTCTACCAAAATAATAAAAATTAGCCAGTCATGGTGGCACCTGCCTATAGTCCCAGCTACTCAGGAGGCTGAGGCAGGAGAATCTCTTTAACCCTGGAGGCAGAGGTTGCAGTGAGCCGAGATCATACCATTGCACTCCAGCCTAGGCAACAAGAGCGAAACTCCATCTCAAATAAATAAATAAATAATATAAATAGAGAGGCCAGGCACGGTGGCTCTGACCTGTAATCCCAGCACTTTAGAAGCCTGAGGCAGGTGGATCACCTGAGGTCAGGAGTTCGAGACCAGCCTGGCCAGCATGGCAAAACCCTGTCTCTACTAAAAATATAAACATTAACCAGGTGTGGTGGTGGGCACCTGTAATCCCAGCTACTCCGTAGGCTGTGGCAGGAGAATCGCTTGAACCTGGGAGGCAGAGGTTGCAGTGTGCTGAGATTAAACCATTGCACTCCAGCATGGACAACAAGAGCAAAACTCTATCTCAAAAAAAAAAAAAAAAAAAAAAAAAAAAAAGAAAGGAAAGAGGAAGAAAGGAAGAAAAGAAAAATAAAAAATGAACAGGACTTCTTTAAACATGACATACTTAGTTATGGGTCTCCTCCCCACACAGAAAAACTCCCTGGACATCAATGACTTCATCCGCTCTGACTGGTAGATAGTCCGCATTCCCCAACACCCTGGCTCTTCACCTCAAAAGGGTTAGCTTTCCACCACTCCAGCAAAGACCCTCAGGACACATGAGACATACTCCCAGCTGAGCATCTACCCCGAGATAAGCAGCTGCTCGGGCCGCTGGGCCATCCTTGCCCTGCTCCCTTCTGTGGTGCCCACACTGAGCCCTGCAGCGCTGGTAGAAGGTGGTCTTTGGCTCGTCTGCAGAGCGGGTTTGAGGCTACATGCAGTAAGCATGAAGAAGTTCTCCTCTGGGACAGGGCCCTGCGGTAGAGTCAGCATCCTCCCGGGCAGCTGCTCCCCCAAGCCTATTAGCCCCCTCTTTCAGCTTTGAGTACTTCCGATTTGTTACCTTGTGGGTGACGTTGTGCACACAGGGGCATGTGCCGCAGGCGAAGCGACAGCAGTGCTGTCCCTCCTCTATGATCAGCCCATTCCCACAGCCAGGGTAGAACAGCAGCAGCATCTCAGACTCTGCTGGCTCCAGTTATTTAGTTATTTATTTGTTTATTTTAATGAAACATGAACTTGCTGGATGCGGTGGCTCATGTTTGTAATCCCAGCACTTTGGGAGGCAGAGGCGGGCGGATCACAAGGTCAGGAGTTCGAGACCAGTCCGGCCAACATAGTGAAACCATGTCTCTACAAAAAATACAGAAAATTAGCCATATGTGGTGGTGTGTGCCTGTAGTCTCAGCTACTCTGGAGGCTGAGGCAGGAAACTTGCATAAACCTGGGAGGTGGAGGTTGCAGTGAGCCGAGATCTTGCCATTGTACTCCAGCCTGGGTGACAGTGTGAGACTCTGTCTCAAAAAAAAAGAAAGATAAGAAAGAAAGAAGAAAAGAAAGAAAGGAAAGAATGAAGGAAGGAAGGAAAGAAAGAGAGAGAGAAAGAAAGAAAGAACCAACATAAATTTGGTATTAACCATTTGAGAACTTTTAAAAGATAACATGGTAAACAGGAAAGGAATTTGAGGGCAGAGTGGGAACTTCCTAGCTCTTCCTTCTTTTCCTGGAAACCAGTCAGGTTACTGGTTTTAAACTGGAGGTGTCAACAGGCATTGTAGCAACTGTGTGACCAGAGGATGTGAGGTCCCCTGAGCACAATTCCACGATGCCCTCCTGATACTACGATTACCTCTCTGCTTCTCCTTCTTCCCACTAGCGGTGAGCAGAGACACAGCCTCTTCTAGTGAGCTACAACCCCAGCCCTTCTACCTTGCATGCACATGTCTAAAAGAGATGCTGGCTCCCAGATTGACTGCTGGACCTAAGGCAATTGTAACTCAATTTCTATCTCGCCCTGAACTCCAGGATGCCAAGATTTAAGACCTATCATGACCAACGTCTCAGAAAGAGACGGAAGCCCATGATCCCCCTCTTACAGTGGGTACCCCAAGATACAGTTTGGCCCAGGGAGAAGAGAGCAGCTGGCTGCTGCTGTACCCGGTGGTTCCTTTCCCATGTCACACTCATCTGTCTCTAGAGCTCATCCCACCTGCTACACAGCTTCTGGACTTTTACTTTTCCCTGGTGAATTGGAAATCAAATAATTGGATGGGCAGATCAAGGCAGCTCAGCTCACAGAGAAAGCTAGTCAGGCTTTGCTTTCTGTTTTCCCATCCTCTAAAACTGTACTGAGGATGGTGTGTGTGTGTGTGTGTGTGTGTGTGTGTGTGTGTGTGTACATGTGCTTGGAGGAGGCTGAAGAAGGGGAGGCTGCAGCATTATGACTTATTAACCTATTGGAAAAGAGGCTGAATCACCTCAGTCAAAAATAAATGCTGCAATTCCATGTACATAACTCCCACTTCTTGCTCGTTTCCCTTTGCTCCCTCACAGCCTGTAGGAGGGACTACATAGTGCTGGGTCAGACCCGCAGGTGCTCACAGACGTGGGTTCAGCAAGGGAACCACCTGTATGGCCACTGCACCTCCGAGCTGTGGGATGCAGGGACAGCTGGGACCAGTCGGCCTCCACTGAGCCTCCGATGGCTCCTAGGACTGAATCTTGGGCTCCAGGTGCGGGCTTACACGCCCTGCGCTCATTGGGAACTGCACGGAGAAGCGCTGTCCCCTGAGCCCTTTTTCTCCCTACCCTTTGCCTCGCCCTGCGCCCTGCGCCCTGCGCCCTGCGCCCGGGGCTGGCCCACGGTAAACACAGCTTTGCTAACTTGTTTGGCTAAGAAAATCACCGAGGTCCCCGGTGTAAGTCTGGGTCACCCCGGCAGCCACTCCAGCTGCCTGGAATATGCTGGGTGGAAGGAAACCGATTCTGTGAAATCAGAGGGAAAATAGCGCTTGTCCTTGCCATGAGTCCTGGGGAGACCGAAAACGCTTAACCTTTCACGCCCCCGCATGCGGGTCCCCTCTCTCTCCGTTCCCCGGCTGCCTGTAAGCTCTGCCCGAGACCACGCGCAGGATTTTCAGCCAGTATCACCCCTGTCCTTCTACAGGTCCAGGGAGGAGGGCGGGGGGCGGGAGGAGGCGGAGCGAAGCCGCTGTGACGTGACGGGAGGGGGGCGTGGGGAAATGTGCCGAGGGGCCCGGGCTGGCTGGGCCAGTCCAAGCGACGCAGCCACCCATGCGCTCGTGCTCGCAAGGCCACCCGCGCCCAGAACCCTAGTCCGCGGTTTGGAGCCGGGTGTCTGCGGATAAGGAGAGCTCTCTCCCGGCTAGGGGCTAGCGGGAGCCGGCTCAAGAGGATCGAGGAGCCGGGAACCCCAAACGTCGGGCGCCAGGCGCCAGGCGCTAGCCAAGCTGCTGCGCGCCCGGGCGCCCAGCTGGCTGGGGACAGTCGCTGGGTGCCGGAGACCGGAGCTAGCGGATTGCAGCGGAAAAGCCAAGGCGAGGTGAGTGTGCGTGTGTGTGTGCGTGTGTGTGTGTGTGTTAGAGATGGAGGGAGCGGGAAGCGCACCTGGGCACCTGTGTGCATCTGCGTTGATGGCGGAGTGCCCATCCGAGCGCCTGAGCGCGGGTCCTGGAGAATCACAAGGGCGTGATTCTCCGCCCTGGTGCTTTTTGGGGTGATTATAGCAGGAATGAACGACAGCGGGTGCCCCTGCCCAAGTAGGGGGCTCTGAGTAGAGTGTGCTGGAACGGACGTGTCCTCGCAGCCTCATGCCCGTGTGCGTGGCGCATGCCCTTTAGCCAGAGACCTCAGGTGCTAGCTGCGACGGGGGACAACTTCTCTCAGCCCCCTGCAAAAGAGACCCTGCGCGAGGGGAGCGAGGCCGTCAGGGGATGTATCGGGTGCCAGCCTGGGGCTCCTGCGGGAGCGCACCCGAGATCTGAGCCTGCCAGAGGCAGGCGGCGGGCGCTGAGCGGAGAAAAGAGGGGATTTTTTTCCTGTTCTTCCCCCCCCCGGCCAGATCGTTCCCAGACGCTGAACGATCTAGGATCCGCCCCTGTCCCCCACCTCGGGACAGAAAAAACAGTTTGCCAAGGTTTGGAGAGACCAAACCTCTGCATATCCCGTGCCGAAAGCCGCTGGCCAAGTCCCCAAGCGACTGTCGTCCGCTCCCCGAAGTCTCTGTCCTCAGCTCCCCGCCACACACCCGGTACTCCCTGCTCTGCGTTTAGAGACCGGGAGTGCTGGCGCTACAATCTCCACTCTTCCCTTGTCTTTCTGGAAATGGCACGGAGTTCTTCGGGAAACCCTTACTCTGAGGATCAGCGAGTTGGATGGCAAGGAGGAGGACTTTCTGTGCCAGCCGGGAGCACCAACTCCGCAGTCCTGACATTCACTTCTCCATCTCCCAACCCCGTAGGCCAGCACCGCCCTGGCTTTTCCCCCGGCGCTCACTCGCTGCGAAGACCCACAGGGGCTTTTGTCATTGTGCCAGTGGGAGCTCTTGCTCCAGCCCCGGAGAGACCCAGCCGGGTTGTGCCGGCCCCCAGGGAGGCGGGGGTGGGAACTGAATGCGGGAAAGATGATGGGGAGAGGAGACACTGATCCTGAGTGGGATTTAGGACCTCCCCTGATGCCTGGTCCCCATCCCAATACTCATTTCTTGGGCTGGTACCCACAGCCCCCATGTAAAAAAGGGGTGGAAGGTGGGGTGTGTGAGATTATTCTCACCCTCCTCTCCACAGAGCCTGGACTTGGTTCAGAGGAAACCAACGCCTAGCCATTTCCAGCATCTAACAATTCTTGAGCTGGAAAAACAAAGAATGCAGAAAACCAAACTTCCTTGTCCATTTAATTTAACCACAATTCAACAAGCATTGGCTGCCTGGCATTGGAATATTCGTTCTCTGGAACAAAAACGAAACAGAAGTCTCTGGAAGACATTAGGCAGCTGACTTCCTTGTTAAATAAGACTCCCCATGATTGAAGCTCATTTCTTGCTTAGAGGAGCCTTCCCACTCTCAACCGGCTCCCCAGCCTCCCACCTCCACCACCTTCACCAAGACTCTGAACCCTGTCTGTTGCTACCATTAAGCGATTCTGTCCTGTTGAGTGAAACTCCAGTTGAGATGACTGAGTTAAGGCTGGAAGGCAACACTCAACCCTCCCTCATACTCCCTGCACCATCATCCTTCCTAGCCCAAGAGCTCTTAGACAGGGCCTCTCCCAGCCCTGGGGGCTTCCGTGTTACCCAGACATTGGAGTGTGACCATTTGTGTTACATAAATGGGCTCCTGGAAATCCCTGTGATTAATGTACACTCTAATTGCAGGCAGCTTGAATAGGATTCTGGCTCAGTAGAATTAAACTGACAAGATGGTTAGAAATGATTGTGATGATCGTGAAACTACCCAAATTAATCCAGGGATACTAACCACAGTTTCTGTACAGCGTCTGCTTTAATTGCTGCACGTTTATGCTTTTTTACCTGATACAGACATGAAATTCTAGGTCCCCAAAAACTTCACAAAATGTTCAGACACAAAGCCCAGACAGATCTCACTTCACAGACAGTTGTGTGGTAGGGAAGTGAGCACGAAAGGCACAAGCAATGCACCTGGCAGTTCAGAATGAATCAGAGGCAATGGTGAGCAAGGATCCTCAAATGCTTGTTGCCGGCTAAGTCTCCTTTAACTCATCTGCAGTCTTTCCAAGGATTAAGAAGCAATCTTCCATCCACAGCCAGGCACCAGGAAAAGTACCTAGCTCAGGGGAAATGTGTCAGCCAAGTGATTATTCCCTCTCTGCTGAACACACCACCCTTTGGACAGCTCACCTCTTTCCAGATTGACCTTTTTGCTGTCCTCCTGCTTTACTTTCCATACACCCAAGACCCAGCTCAAATATTTCTCTTTGGAAGCCTCCTCTAAATCCCCCAGGAAAGGAAGGCATCCTTAAATCCTTCATTTATCTCTCATGCAATTCCCACCCGATTTGAGTTGGCTTCCTTGCCTGTCTCCCCTTTTAAATTATCACCTTCTAGAGGGCACTAGCCGTGTTTGTTCATCCCTGCATCCCTGCTGTCAGCACAGTGAAGCCTCCTCCTCGTTCCCCATGATACTTTTTGAATGGCTGTATGTCATTCACTTAATTATGGGATGCGCTATTGTTTTAGATCTTAAGCCAAGCCAGTAGTGTTTCAATTATTCCTCTCAGTAAGGAAGTAACACAGGAGTCAGTTGCTTTAAACCAAAGCCCAGATATCAGCCGTTCAGTCTCTAGACCACTGAGGAGCAGAGGGGATGCCTTGAAATGTGCAAAAGATGGGGCCAGGTGGCCTGTGTTCACACCCCAGATCCACCAATTATGCACAAGAGAATGGGAGTGAACTCCTTAAACTCTCTAAGCCTCAGTTTACACATCTCTAAAATGGGCGTAATTATCCCTACCACCTAGGACAATCCGGAAGATCAAGTGAATAGTGGGTGTGAATGAACTATACCAGTGCTGGAAGCCTTCTGCTTACTTCTGTGTTTGAGCTTGCGTCCCACACCTGCTTCCCGTTTTTGTCCTTAATTAGAAAATGGCAGACAAATTCTCTGGGGTGTTCAGCACTTGGGAGCAGCGTCCCCTTAGGGACTTTGGGCAAGAGTCCTTGAGGAAGTCGAGCATTGGGTGGTATTGGAAAACAAAAATAGAAGAAAAACAAAAAATAAACCGAAGCTTACATTTCAAAAATGAAACAAACCAGACTTTTATCTTTAATACCGAAGACTATAAATTGGTTCATCACATAGGAAGATTTCAGTAAATCAGAGATAATGAGATGACAGAGGAAAACGTGGGGGGAAACAACATGTACGAGGTTCCCATTTCGAGCCCAACGCAATGCTAGGCATTTTCACATACATTCCATCATTTAACCTTCATGATACCCCCATGTGAACAAATAAGAGTCAGAACCATTAAGGACCAGACATGCTGTCACATGGGCTCAACAGAGGAACCCGGGATTGTTCTACCTCTAGAGTCTGGGTTTTTTCCACTATGGTGTTTTCAGAATGGAAAGACTCCAAGGCGGTTAGCAAGTCAGCATAGATTTCCTGGTAGGGAAGAGGCCAGGAATGTCAGTGTCAGATCCTTCTGAGGTCAGGGGCTGAACTTCTTTCTCCAAGCTCTGCGTTTCTGCAGTTTAGATCAGTCAACTTCTTAGGGGTCAAAGTATGTGCTTTTGAAGCCACAGCCCTCCCCCACATGTGCGTCAGCAGATGATGGCTCGACCCAAACTCTTCCCTACTATTGGAAAAACAACTCGAAAAAGTCTGCACACTGATGAGGAATGCTAGAGCCTAATATTGATACAGAAAGATAATCCGTATTTCAATTTAAGAGTGTGTCTGAGAGGGTAAACCAGAAATGTGTAAATTTGGTGAAAGTTTAAATAGATCATGACTGACGGGCCAATTTTCCTTTTCTCCTTCCAGATGTCACACTGGATCCTTGGCCTCCAGGGTCCATTAAGGTGAGAACAAGATCTCCGGGCTGGCTGGAACTAGCATAACACTGAAAAAGCAGCCACAGACATGGCAGATGAGCCGCTCAATGGAAGCCACACATGGCTATCCATTCCATTTGACCTCAATGGCTCTGTGGGGTCAGCCAACACCTCAAACCAGACAGAGCCATACTATGACCTGACAAGCAATGCAGTCCTCACATTCATCTATTTTGTGGTCTGTATCATCGGGTTGTGTGGTAACACACTTGTCATTTACGTCATCCTCCGCTATGCCAAGATGAAGACCATCACCAACATTTACATCCTCAACCTGGCCATTGCAGATGAGCTCTTCATGTTGGGTCTGCCTTTCTTGGCTATGCAGGTGGCTCTGGTCCACTGGCCCTTTGGCAAGGCCATCTGCCGGGTGGTCATGACTGTGGATGGCATCAATCAGTTCACCAGCATCTTCTGCTTGACAGTCATGAGCATTGACCGATACCTGGCTGTGGTCCACCCCATCAAGTCGGCCAAGTGGAGGAGACCCCGGACGGCCAAGATGATCACCATGGCTGTGTGGGGAGTCTCTCTGCTGGTCATCTTGCCCATCATGATATATGCTGGGCTCCGGAGCAACCAGTGGGGGAGAAGCAGCTGCACCATCAACTGGCCAGGTGAATCTGGGGCTTGGTACACAGGGTTCATCATCTACACGTTCATCCTGGGGTTCCTGGTACCCCTCACCATCATTTGTCTTTGCTATCTGTTCATTATCATCAAGGTGAAGTCCTCTGGTATCCGAGTGGGCTCTTCCAAGAGAAAGAAGTCTGAGAAGAAGGTCACCCGAATGGTGTCCATCGTGGTGGCTGTCTTCATCTTCTGCTGGCTTCCCTTCTACATATTCAATGTTTCTTCTGTCTCCATGGCCATCAGTCCCACCCCAGCTCTTAAAGGCATGTTTGACTTTGTGGTGGTCCTCACCTACGCTAACAGCTGTGCCAACCCTATCCTATATGCCTTCTTGTCTGACAACTTCAAGAAGAGCTTCCAGAATGTCCTCTGCTTGGTCAAGGTGAGCGGCACAGATGACGGGGAGCGGAGTGACAGTAAGCAGGACAAATCCCGGCTGAATGAGACCACGGAGACCCAGAGGACCCTCCTTAATGGAGACCTCCAAACCAGTATCTGAACTGCTTGGGGGGTGGGAAAAACCCAGCTGCGCTCTGTCTGCTGGCAATGGTCTCCCTACCCGCACCCACTTACTTCCTCCCACCCCTCACACCTGGCTTTTAGAATAGAGGATTGCTCAGCACGAGTCCAATTCAGAGAACAGTGTTTGAGTCGGCTTGTCTGATTGAATGATAATGTGCTAAATTGATTACCTCCCCCTTAAAGCAAACACTGAAATACAGGTAGACAATTCAAAGTCTGGAGAAAAGGGATCGTGCCTGAGTATGATCTTTAGAAACGAAAATAGGCCGGGTGCGGTGGCTCACACCTGTAGTCCCAACGCTTTGGGAGGCCGAGGCTGGTGGATCACAAGGTCGAGATCCAGACCATCCTGGCCGACATGATAAAACCCTGTCTCTACTAAAAATATAAAAAAATTAGCTGGGCATGGTGGCGTGCGCCTGTAGTCCCAGCTACTCGGGAGGCTGAGGCAGGAGAGTCACTTGAACTCGGGAAGCAGAAGTTGCAGTGAGATGAGATCGAACCAATGCACTCCAGTCTGGTGACAAAGCGAGACTCCATCTCAAAAAACAAAACAAAAATGAAACAAAAAAAAAAAAAAAGGAAAAAAAAAGCATCTGTGTGTTTGTGCATTTAAAACTCAATATGTAATCTTGTGTTCTTATATTTATACTTGCATATTCCTATTTATTCTCTGTATAGGCGTTATCTACGTTCTTGTGTTCACATATACAAGTAGTAAATTCAAATGTGCATAGTGTACATGGACTTTTGGCACAATACAGAGCCCGCAGAAATGGACTTACCATGAAGCCAATAAAGTTTCAACTTCAGGGAGCTCTCTTGCACGGGCCTTTCCAAGGCCCAGGAGGGACCTGGGCAGTATGTTCACCTGGTCATCTGTTTTTGTAAATAATTATGGAATTAAGATATTTTTGTATTGCTTTTCTTAAAAAGCATCTTTGTATAAGCTTCTAGCATCACAAAACGTCCGGCCTCTGCCCCTGGGTGTTTGCTTCATTAATTTCAGGCAGGTTAGGTCAATGTAAGAAGGGAAAGGGGGCAGATATTTGAAGACCCAAAACATAAATGTATGTGTTTCCACCTCTCAGATATAATCAGAGAATTATTCATTTGCCCAAAAGGACTTAAGTGGTAGTGGTCATCCATCATTGTATTTATCAGGACAGAACCAACTTTGTTATTATAAGATTGCAAAATCTTTTCAAATTGCTTTAGTTTTTCTTAGGAAGCCATGAGTGGGGGGAAATCACTAACATGAAAGGCAAAATATGGAGTATGATTCCTGTGGGGAAATAATTTTATTCTCTCCACCGTGAAAATAAGTGAATAAGAGTGAAGCAAAATTACACCTTTATGAGAAACCGTAAAATTGTTTTTTATTTTTCAGGCCAGACATAGCTTCCTAATGAAAGAAAATGGAAATGTAATTCAATGACTCCTCAAAAGGGATTTTTGAGGACTTCATACAAAACTGGGCATTAAGAAAACCACAAATGCATGACCAGGTGCAGTGGCTTATGCCTGTAATTCTAGCACGTTGAGAGGCCAAGGCAGGTGGATCACCTAGAGTCAGGAGTTCAAGACCAGCCTGGCCAACATGGTGAAACCCCATCTCTACAAATAATATAAAAATTAGCCGAGTGTGGTGGTCCATGCCTGTAATCCCAGCTACTCGGGAGGCTGAGACAGGAGAATTGCTTGAACCTAGGAGGTAGAGGTTGCAATAAGCTGAGACTGTGCCACTGCACTCCAGCCTGGGTAGCAAGAGCAAAACTCAGTCTCAAAAAAAAAAAAAGAGAGCGAGAGAACCACAATGCATGCTAAAGACCAGAGGAGCCAGGCGCGGTGGCTCACGCCTGTAATCCCAGCAGTACTTTGGGAGGCCGAGGCAGGTGGATCACGAGGTCAAGAGATCGAGACCATCCTGGTCAACATGGTGAAACCCTGTCTCTACTAAAAATACAAAAAAAATTAGCTGGGCATGGTGGTGTGTGCCTGTAATCCCAGCTACTCAGGAGGCTGAGGCAGGAGAATTGTCTGAACCCAGGAGGCGGAGGTTGCGGTGAGCCGAGATCGCACCATTGCACTCCAGCCTGGGTAACAAGAGCGAAACTCCGTCTCAAAAAAAAAAAAAAGACCAGAGGAGACTGTTCATAAAACAAAAGCACTCTCACCTGCCAATGAATATGTAGCGTATGGGGGCGGCGGGGGGGGCAGGGTGTGAGGGTTTGTGGGGCCCCACCACTTGGAAATACTGCTGTGCCACCTTCCCCACTGACTGTATACACAGTAAGTGTCTTATCTTTAATGTCATGGACTCTCTGAGCTGCTCCTCAAGAATTATTGTAAATAGGCACTTCACACCATAAAGTGGGATTTTTTTGTCCCCCAAACTGACACGTACAAGCGATAAGAAAAGAGACAATATCCATTTCATTGACTGATCAGTTTCCAGAGTATGAAGGAATACGCACTGGGTGCCTGCAAGGATGTCATCGTCTCTGGGTTTTATCTGAGAGCATCACTCAGCATCTCACACATAGATTTCACCATATTTTTAAATGAGCTTTCCTCTTCGGGCTTTCTAAGCAAGTGCTGTTTGCCCGTCGGAATGACTAACTGCTCCACCTGTGGGTGTCCTTCCTAATGTGCTACTTTTGTTCTGTATAATTCACACCACCTCATTCCCAAAAGTACTTCCTGTGGCTAAGAAAAATATGTTCAATAAGATTTAGGATAGACAAATCTGTATAAAAATAAAAAGTGGTACAGTTATAAAACAAGACTGTAGAGAAAGTTGTTGCAAAAATTGCATGCAGTAAAATCCCGCACCATTAGTAAAAGTAAGGTCAGCTGCAAGTTCAGTGCAGGGCTTCCTAGCAGCCATGTTTAGCAAAGTGTGACTGTTTTTTGTTTTTTGAGATGGACTCTTGCTCTGTCACCCAGGCTGGCGTGCAGTGGCATGATCTCAGATCACTGCAACCTCTGCTTCCTGGGTTCAAGTGATTTTCCTGTCTCAGTCTCACTAGTAGCTGGGATTACAGGCACGCGCCACCATACTTGGCTAATTTTTTTATTTTTAGTAGAGATAGGGTTTCACCGTTGGTCTGGCTGATCTTGAACTCCTGACCTGTTTGTGTGTGTGTGTGTGTGTGTGTGTGTTTAAATAAAAACAAGCAAAGATTTGGAAGAAAATGCTTTAGGCCTAACTTTACAATTATTATAACATGAGATGTTCCAGGGTCCTTGAATAAATGCTAAGTTTGACTTAGGGAAATGATTCCAAGGGACCAAGAATTGGTAGAAATAATTTCAAGGCAGAGAAGACCAATTCTACAGGCCAGGTTTGGTGGCTCATGCCTATAATCCCAGCATTTTGGGAGGCCAAGGCGGGTGGTTTTCTTAATGTTCAGTTTTGTATGATCACTTGAGGTCAGGAGTTCAAGACCAGCCTGGCCAACATGGTGAAACCCCATCTCTACTAAAAATACAAAAACTTAGTCTGGCGTGGTGGTGGTAGGCATTGCAATACCAGTTACTCGGGAGGCTGAAGCAGGAGAATGGCTTGAACCTGGGAGGTGGAGGTTGCAGTGAGCTGAGATTGTGCCATTGCACTCCAGCCTAGGCAACAAGAGGGAAACTTTGTCTTAAAAAAAAAAAAGACTGGCCAGGCGCGGTGGCTCAAGCCTGTAATCCCAACACTTTGGGAGGCCGAGGTGGGTGGATCACGAGGTCCAGACCATCCTGGTCAACATGGTGAAACCCCATCTCTACTAAAAATACAAAAAAAATTAGCTGGGCATGGTGGCGCGTGCCTGTAATCCCAGCTACTCAGGAGGCTGAGGCAGGAGAATTGCCTGAACCCAGGAGGCGGAGGTTGCGGTGAGCCGAGATTGCTCCATTGCACTCCAGCCTGGGTAACAAGAGCGAAACTCCGTCTAAAAAAAAAAAAACAAAAAAACTAATTCTAGAATATTCATGACCCTGTGACCAGAGAAACTGCCTGTACGGAAGCCAGAGTCAAAGCAGCCACCTGTAACCTGAAAATGAAATGCAGACCCAGCCATCTGTGGGCCTCCCTCAGCAGGATGACCATTCTAAGACTAAATGACAGGCCTTTGAGTTTGATGCTACAATTCCATCCAAATGCGCAGTTCGGTTTCTGCCTTAGGGAAAGGCATTCTCCCCTTTTTGAAATATCTGTTTCAAAGATAACTTGTGCTCTGGTTTTCTTTTATCCAAAGGAGAGAATCAACATGCTAATTTAAAGGTTAACATCATTTTAATTCAAAGAATTTAGTTTCCATTCCATATTTAATGCTGAAGACAAATCTGCTAGGTGCTGGGGGGGAATAAAAAGAAATGCACCCCATTGATTTCAGAGTATCTCATCACATGGGTTATGCATGCTGCCACTTAACTGCCATTAACATAGGTAGTTAAGCACTGATTAAACCTAAGTGGACTCAGAGAAAAAGATATTGGGAAAGATAATATGATATTGTGGTCTATGCTGAATAATGTTAGCTGTGTTTCAGTAACAGAGTTGGGTAATATTGGACAAGTAGATGAAACCTTAGCAGTGCTGGGCGTGGTGGCTCATGCCTGTAATCCCAGCACTTTGGGAGGCTGAGGCAGGCAGATCGCCTGAGATCAGGAGTTCAAGACCAGCATAGCCAACATGAGGAAACCCCATCTCTACTCAGAATACAAAAATTAGCCAGGTGTGGTGGCTGTAATCCCAGCTACTTGGGAGGCTGAGGCAGGAGATTTGCTTGAACCCCAGAGGCGGAGGTTGCAGTGAGCTGAGATGGTGCTACTGCACTTCAGCCTGGGTGACAGAGCAAGACTCCATCTCAAAAAAAAAAGAAGAAGAAAAACTTCAGTGGGGTTCATACCATAGCTTGGCAGAATCTAGAAGGCAGAAGGACACTGGAAAATAAAATGGCACACAGAGAGGAACGTGGGCTAGGTGATGGGGCTTCTAGACCTGGCAATGAACTGGAATCTATCTGCTTACACAAATGTAACCTTCTCTCCATGACGGAATACAAATGTTTCTTGCTGAAACTCGTAGCCCTAGCTGCCCTAAATGAGAAGCACCGTGCTAGAAAAGTGCACAGGCTGATCGCAGAGACTGGTGGGAAGCAAAGGGCTGTCAAAATACATGTTCTGGGCTAGGGGTGGTGGCTCACATCTGTAATCCCAGCACTTTGGGAGGCTGAGGCAGGGGAATCGCTTGAACCCAGGAGTTTGAGGCCAGCCTGGGCAATGCAGTGAGACCCTGTCTCTTTAAAAAAAAAAAAAGAAAGAAAGAAAAAGAGAAAGAAAGAGAAAAAAATCCATATTCCTGATCAGCTCCGAATATGACTATTCAATGGAGAGAGTAAAATTACAGTGGAAGGCACACATGATCTTTGACCTTGCTAAAGAAAGGTGCGTAAAAGGATAGCAGACATAATGCTCATCTTAGGTTACCTGTTGATTTTAAAACAACCAAAAAAAAAAACTCCATAAAAAAATAAGTAAAATATAAAAACAAATTAATGTTTTATAGACCCTCGGGAAAAGAATTTTCAGCAAAGTACAAAAATTTAAAGCATTCCTTTCTTTAATTTGTAATTCTTTACTGTGGAACAGCTCAAATATCAGTTCTGTTTTAGGTAATGGAAATGATAACTGGGCAAGGAAACGTAATTTGGATTGTAAAATTCTTGCTCTAATAAAAATTCCTTAAACAGTTGAAAAAAGAAGAAAAGAGAGAAAGTGGCAAGAGAATCATCAAAAGTTTCCATAGATGGTTGGGAAGATCTGATTGGCGTTTCCAACACGTGTGTCATTCTAAGAATCCCAAAGCTGGCAAGCCAAGCAGTGGAACTTACTGTAACGACAACCAATCTTGTCTCATCCACGTTTTTGCCAGTTTCAAAAACATTGAATTTCCCATCAAATGTTCTATCAGAGTAAACCTTTACCTAACTACTTATTTTGCTTTTAATATGTGAATTTCTGGGAACATTCTCATGGGCAGAGTCTCTTTCCTTTTTTTTTTTTGAGATAGAGTTTCTCCCTCTCGCCCAAGCTGGAGTGCAGTGGCAGGATTTCAGCTCACTGTAACCTCTGCCTTCCGATTTCAAGCGATTCTCCTGCCTCAGCCTCCTGCGTAGCTGGGATCACCAAATTTGTACAATGGGTGCATGCCAACATGCCTGGCTAATTTTTGTATTTTTAGTAGAGATGGAGTTTCACCATGTTGGCCAGGATGGTCTTGAACTCCTGACCTCGTGATCCTCCCACCTCGGCCTCCCTAAGTGCTGGGATTATAGGCATGAGCCACTGCACCTGGCCCAGAGTCTCTAATTTGTTTTCCAGCAGCTCATCTAGCAAGTAGGCACCAGGGACTGTATTCTGCTTACAGCTGAAGAGCTTCTGTAGCTCCTGTTATCCAAGTCGGTGAAGTATTAAGGTTGAGAATGATGGCTCAAGGACAAGATTTCACACCTCTCACCCCCACTGCCACTTTCAAGAATGATCCACCACCTCCCCTTAACTCAGCAGCAACTGAACATGGGGAGGGGGCAGGGGGTAATCATTTTCTCCTTTAGATGTCTCAGGTTGTATGTTATCTGGATTCTGCTTAAAAACAGAGCTAAATAGTAACCAAGACTGAACCGGGCTGACCATAAAGTGATATTGATTCTCCTAAGATTAAAAGCGAGCATAAGATCATTAAAATGAAATGGTGTGGCTTCAAAACGCAGCTCACTAAACATCTGCCTCCTGGTGGACAAAGATTTTAGGCATGAGAGTTGACACAGAGACTCAACTTCAGGTGGATAAGAAAGAGTTTAAGTAGAGAAGTAGGGAGGCTTGTCTTTTTTTTTTTCTTTTTTCTTTCTTTTCTTTTGAGATGAAATCTTGCTCTGTTGCCCAGGCTGGAGTGCAGTGGCATGATCTCGGCTCACTGCAACCTCTGACCCTGGGTTCAAGTGATTCTCCTGCCTCCCCCTCCCAAGTAGCTGGAATTACAGGCATGTGCCTCCATACCCAGCTAATTTTTGTATTTTTAGTGGAGATGACGTTTTGCCGTGTTGGCAAGGCAGGTCTCGAACTCCTGACCTCAGGTGATCAACCCACCTCAGCGTCCCAAAGTGCTGGGATTACAGGCATGAGCCACCACACTCAGCCAATTTTTCATCATCTCTCTCTTTCCTGGCATTATTGAAGGGACAGACTGGTTGGGGCGGGGGGCGGGGAAAGAACACCTCTTTGCTTAGATATTGGCGCCTAGTGGGGACACTAAGTTCATTTCCTGATCCTACCAGGCCTGGAAGCAGCAAAGGAATGTCCTGATTAGAGATAAAATTGTCCTATCCTTTTAGAAAAGCCTGTTGCTGGGGGCAGTGGCTCAAGCCTGTAATCCCAGCACTTTGGGAAGCCGAGGCGGGTGGATCACGAGGTCAAGAGATTGAGACCATCCTGGTCAACAAGGTGAACCCCCGTCTCTACTAAAAATACAAAAAATTAGCTGGGCATGGTGGCGCATGCCTATAATCCCAGCTACTCAGGAGGCTGAGGCAGGAGAATTGCCTGAACCCAGGAGGCGGAGGTTGCAGTGAGCCAAGATCGTGCCATTGCACTCCAGCCTGGGTAACAAGAGCAAAACTCCATCTCAAAAAATAAATAAATAAAAAGAAAAGCCTGTTAAGCAATATGATGCAAGGCCACCTTTGATGAAATCTGAAAGGACACCCTACAGCCTTGTCCACTCCAATTATTCAGTGACAGGGCCTCCAGTTGCTTAAGCCATAGAGAAGGTCCCTTTGCAGTGGGAGTCCCTGAAGAGATAATGGGAAGCCCAGGATGAACCCAGTCCTAAGGGCTGCTGGGGGCTATCCAATAAGACTGTTTTAGCCCTGGACACAGAGGGAGACACAGTCATTCCAGGTCCTTACAAAGAATACATTGCCAAGCCACCAGTACAAGGACCCCAAAGGATATCTGCTAGTCTCAAGAGAGGAAGACCCACCACCAACTCTCTGGGACTATCTGTCAACTCAACAGGTGCAGCTAGGGACCTCTTCCTCTTCCCTCCCAGGAAGCTGTGCTATCAGTTCCTGGGAGGGTTCGTGTTCCCACATAAGGGGATACGTTCATTGCTGAGTATGCTGACATCTTTCTCATGGGTATGATTTTTAAACAAGAAACTTAAATGGTTCTCATGTAATATAACTGATATGCTTTGGCTGTGTCCTCACCCAAATCTCATCCTGAACTGCAGCTCCCATAAGCCCCATGTGTTGTGGGAGGGACCCAATGGGAGGTAATTGAATCATGGAAACGGTCACCTCCACACTGTTCTGGTGATAGTGAGTGAGTTCTCACAGGATCTGATGGTTTCATAAGGGGCTTTCCTCCTGCTTTGCTCTGCACTTCTCCTTGCTGCTGTCATGTGAAGAAGGACGTGTTTGCTTCCTCTTCTGCCATGATTGTAAGTTTCCTGAGGCCTCCCCAGCCTTGCAGAACTCTGAGTCAATTAAAACTCTTTCCTTTATAAACTACCCAGTCTTGGATATGTCTTTATTAACAGCATGAGAACAGACTAATGTAATAACCAAGGCTTAGTGGCTCTCTTAACATTAACCAGCATCCCACTTCTCAGGAGACATGGGTGGTATTCTAAGCCTCTCAAGTTCTCAACTTGCACCTTCACTCCAGTTTGTGCTCCCAAGCATGTGCACACACAAACACACACATAATGTACACGCATATAGGTGGCACAACAGAGCACGTGTGTGTTGCTTCACATGTATGATGCCCCCTCACTGCCCTGCTCCAGCCCATTTCCATGGCTCAGTCAACATCTGCCCATCTTGTTTGCTTAAGTACCATGCATGTGAAACTCATGCTCACACATGTATGATATGCATGCACATACATGTGAGACATACATGGGGTGCACATGCACACCTGGAAGACGTGTGTGACATACGTGTACATGCTGCATACATCCTATATTGTCTCGGCAAGACCTCAATGCAGAGATTCTCAGCTTTCAACAGAGGGTGATAACTAAACTTTGACTAACTCAGCTCAAACCTAGGGATATTTCGTCATTTTTTTCTACACTGCTGCCACAACAGGGAGGAGGAGCTTGTACATAAACTAATTTTGCACCCAGAGAATTCCATGCTGGATCGCAGACTTCATGCCTCGCTGTAACAGGCTGCTTCAATTCAACAACAACAAGAAAAAGAGTGGGCAAAAGGGTGTGAACACTTTCCTACAAATCACCCCCACCAGTCCATCAACACAAAGCGCTTGTACTACTAACAGCAACATTTTTGCATAAGGAAAATGATATAATTTCTTCACAGAAAAATCACTGAAAATAATTCTTAAATAGAGTCTCATCAATGACAGCTGTCATCAAGGACATTTCTTCCCCCTGCTCCCCGCCCCACCAAGCTTCTTAATACAAAGCCAGGGCTGAACCCTGTGGGGAAGCTGTGATACAGAAAATGAATGGCTGCTCTCTTCCTCTCCCGTGAGCACAGAAACCCTCCCCTTGTCCATGGTCCTGCTTGCTCATTTCTGTGGCTTGGGATATCTACCTTGGCTCATCTTGTTTGCTTAAGTATCAGCCAGTATATGATGGGAAGAGAGTATTGTTATCTCTTTCTTTGAGGAACAGAAGTCTGATCTCCAGGGTTCACTCTCAAGATTAATTAAAGCTAGCCTAGTCTCAGCTGTGCTGCCAGCCCAGCGTGCTAGACACTCACAGAGCAAAGGCTTGGGCAGAAGGAAGACTTACTTTGTTTAGCTTCTGCTTAAGCACTTTTTGGCAGATGAAAATCGTGTCCTAAATATCTCTTCCAAACTCCCAGGTGGATGGGCTCAGGAGATGACACACCACATCTGTTCCACTTTCCTTCCCTGCTGCACCTTCACGTGATCACCTATCTCCAAGGGTTTTCAAGATCAAAGGTAGCAGGACATGCAACTTCAGCCATACCATGTGGCCTCTGCGAAGGTCTGTCCTTGCAGTCCGGGAAACCTACTACTTCTTGGTTTTGAATGGAAAATTTCTAGTCCAGCTGAGCTGACACAAGATCTGGTTGGCTACCAGGAATATGGTTCTGGGATGTTGGGCAGACATGAAAATGGGTATTTAGAAGGTTGGGGATTTTGAGGGCTTCCCTCCTGTCTCCAGGACCAATAAAGTAAATGTTAATTGCTGGAGAAGAACCAAGGTGAGGCACTGATGTGGCAGGTTGCATCAGCAGCGACGTCTGTGTTCAGAGATCAGCTTCACCTTAAAGAGTGTCAAGGTTGCCAGGCACAGTGATTCATGCCTGTTATCTCAGCATTTTGGAAGGTGGAGGAGGGCGGATAATGACGTCAGGAGTTTGAGACCATCCTGGACAACATGGTGAAATCCCATCTCTGCTAAAAATACAAAAATTAGCTGGGTGTGGTGGCACACGCCTATAGTCCCAGCTACTCTGGAGGCTGAGGCAAAAGAATCGCTTGAACCTGGGAGGCAGACATTGCGGTGAGCCGAGATCGCACCACTGCACTCCAGCCTGGTGACAGAGTGAGACTCCGTCTCAAAAAAAAAAAAAAATCAAAGTCAATGGAGGCCCAGGTACTCTCAGCAAAGTCAAGACAGGAGACCAGCTGCCTTTGAGCAGGGAGTCTCACGTGTTTAAAATTCAGCAATTAGGGTTTGTTTCCTTTAATTATGCCCTTGGCTGTCTTTCAAAACAACATCCCCTTATAGTTTATATTTAAAATTTTAACCTCAGCACTTTGAAAGGCAAAGGCAGGAAGACTGCTTGAGCCCAGGAGTTCAAGACCAGCCTGGGCAACATAGAGAACAATCATCTCTACAAAAAAAAAATTGAAAAATTAGCCTGGTGTAGTGGTGAACACCGGTAGTCTCAGCTACTTGGGAGGCTGAGGCAGGAGAATCACTTAAGCCTGGGAGGTGAAGGCTGCAATGATGACAGAGAGAGACCCTGTCCCTAAAAATAAAACATAAAAATAAAAGCTCTGTCACTCAGGCTGGAGTGCAGTGACACAATCTCAGCTCACTGCAACTTCTGTCTCCTGGGTTCAAGCGATTCTGATGTCTCAGCCTCCCCAGTAGCTGAGATTATAGGGGTGCGCCACCACACCCAGCTAATTTTTGTATTTTAGTAGAGACGGGGTTTCACCATGTTGGCCAGGCTGAATTCCCGACCTCGAGTGATCCACCAGCCTCGGCCTTAAAATGCAAGTGATTTTGAAGGAGTCAACAAAGGCATTTCATCCAGCGTGGATGGAGCAGAGCTAGGTCTCATTCTTTTTCTCCATCTCTCCCTCCTTCGGATCTAGGCTGCCCTTGGACAGAAGCAATTTAATATGTGGCTGAGCAGGAGAAAAGGGCTCCTAGTTAGAACAGCCAGCCAACTCAGAGGGGTCAACCAGCCAGCTCAGCCCGCTCACAGAGTCCCATAAGTGCACTCCGATTGCCAATAAAAAGTAGCAGCAGACAATTCAAGGGGAAAGGCCCAGGGAAGTCTCCACTCAAGGGTCCAACACCCTGAGAGCCATCTCATCAGTAAAGAGCAGGGTGTGGAGTACAGGGAGCTGGCATTTAGAATGCGTTGAAAGCTAGTATAGTACGCACAGTGCATTGCTCCTGAAGTCTTCCTATTCCTGATTTCATAGCTCATCTATCCATCACTCTCTGGCTGTCACTCATCCATAAACAACAGCAGATTTTTATAAACACTAGATCAATCATGATCAAAGGAAACTGAACACTCTTTCCACATGGCTTGCACACACACCTCCCCCTGCTCTGTCCTTTCGGGTGGTGCTGACAAGCCTTTAAGCTCACCCCTGTCTTTGAAGGATAAATGGAGACAAGGAAGCCTGCAACATCTAAGAAAAGACTTCCACAGCCCTGACCCAAAAACAATTTCAATTATGTCCTGTGATTGATGGTTTTAACGTGTCGAGAATAGGTGTGCACCTGGTCTACAGCTAGAATTTTTATTATTATGATGATTTGAGATGGAGTTTCTCGCTCAGTCACCCAGGCTGGAGTGCAATGGCACGATCTCAGATCACTGCAACCTCTGCCTCCTGGGTTCAAGCAATTCTCCTGCCTCAGTCTCCCCAGTAGCTGGGAATGCAGACATGCGCCACCATGCCCAGCTAATTTTTATATTTTTAGTAGAGATGGGGTTTCACCATGTTGCCCGGGCTGGTCTCTAATTCCTAACCTCAAGTGATGTGCCCACCTCAGCCTCCCAAAGTGCTGGGATTACAGGCATGAGCCACAGCACTTATTATTATTATTATTGTATTTTGAATGTCATTACTCTTACTAATAGGTCATCTCTGCATATCCAGTACTTTGATAAAACAGTTAAAACTGCTTTTGCTTCCTAATGAGACTTTGTGACTGGGTTTGTTTCTCTGTCAGATTAATTCACCTCCCTATTTGCTGTTAGAAGTGATTGTATAATCCTAATCCTAGAAAACAAGTCACAACAAATATTTCTTTTTAGTGACTTACTTTTTTGTTTTTTTTTTGAGACGGAGTTTCGCTCTTGTTACCCAGGCTGGAGGGCAATGGCAGCGATCTCGGCTCACCGCAACCTCCGCCTCCTGGGTTCAGGCAATTCTCCTGCCTCAGCCTCCTGAGTAGCTGGGATTACAGGCACACGCCACCATGCCCAGCTAATTTTTTTTGTATTTTTAGTAGAGATGGGGTTTCACCATGTTGACCAGGATGGTCTCGATCTCTTGACCTCGTGAACTACCTGCCTCGGCCTCCCAAAGTGCTGGGATTACAGGCTTGAGCCACTGCGCCCGGCCCAGTGACTTACTTTTTAAAAAAAATTTACAAGTGTACCCTTTTATAGCTATTTTCACACAAAATCATATTTGCAATCAAAGAGACTCAGTTTGAAGTGTGCTCATTAGGCCAGCGACATTAACTCACCTCTGTCCCCACCTACGTCTGAAAAACACCCTACATGCTCAGGAAAATGGGCCAGAGTCCTAAGTGACATAACCTACACTTTCCAAGTTCTCAAAAGCCCTGAACTAGAAATAGGTAAACTTAACAATTTGTTTTAAAACTCTAAGGCCAACAAAAAGCCTACCAAGTGCTTTTTGGATGTTATCAAGGTCTTGGCAATCATTTGTCTGAAAGCAAAAGGGGAAAAAAAAAAGGAAAAATCTTGAAAATAGGCAACTACTGGTAAGTCCCATTTTGTCCACAGATGGACTTTTTTTTTTTCTAGAAGACTGTCTTGCTCTGTTGCCCAGGCTGGAGTGTAGTGGTTTGATCTCGACTCACTGCAACCTCCATCTCCTGGGTTCAAGTGATTCTCCTGCCTCAGCCCCCCAACTAGCTGGGATTACAGGTACCTGCTACCATGCGCAACTAATTTTTGGTATTTTTAGTAGAGGTAGGGTTTCACCATGTCGGCCAGGCTGATCTCGAACTCTTGACTTCAGATGATCCACCTGCCTCAGCCTCTCAAAATGCTAGGATTAC